GGGGGGTGGCGTTGTTGGGGGAAGGGTATAATAAAAGTGAAGGTGAAGAAGGGTATTTTAGAAAATAATAATAATAAGACTTGCAGTTTGAGAGAGATGGTAGCTGAGTAATGGGGTGTTGAAGAAAAAGAGCTTTGAAAGTTCTCTATCAGTTCATCTGCCACTCTCTTAAAATTTGAAACCAACAACAAACAGACAAGAGGAGCTAGGAGTCTCGTGACTTTAAAAGGGAACAAATCAAAGCCTGTGTCCTCACCATGGAAATGGGTTTAGGCTTAATATACCCAAATCTCCTCTACAAAAATGGATTCACTTCATTCCAAAAACAAATTATTTAATGAGATTGTCACATTTTAACTATGTTATAGCAATGTCTCTAACTTATACTAACCTCTTACTATTATTATCATTGTTCTTCCGTTTTCCTTTATCATTTTTTCATTAAGCTTTTGATTTTTCTTTTTAAAATGAAGGGTAGTCCTCAATCATATTAAATTTCTCTAGAGGAAAACATTTTACGCTTAATTTTTTTATTTCCAACATTATTGGCGTGCAACACTTTTAGTTTTGGTAGTTAGTGATTATGTTGGGAATGTTATATTAGATTAAGACTATGTTATTTAAATTAGGTTTGTGTTTTGTGTTTGAATTGTGATTTGGGTTTGTCTCTTGTTTGATAGATCAGTATTTTAATTTTTTTTTTTTTTTTATTGGTAGAAATAGGTTATTGGGTTTATGTATTTATTGAATATCGAGCTCTTTTCTTTGCGTTCCCACTGAAATTTTCCTCCCCATAAATTTGACATGGTTATATCTTGTTTGGTTTCTCTTCCTAAATGAAATATTAATACTGTTGTGGGCGGAAAGCGGAACAAATGTATTCACAGCACCAATGAATGGAATTACACAAAGAGACACCAAGATATTTACATGGTTTGGAGAGAAGAAGTTTTCCTACATTCAAGAGTAGCAACCAATCACTAATAAACTAAGTGTTACAAGTGAATACCTCACTCTCACACCACAAACTCACTCTCACACTCCAAAGACTCACCAATATGTCACTCAAAAATACAATGTGACACTCAAAACTCTCCCAAATCCCGATATCAAATCCCTGTATACCCATGTTATACTCAAAAATCATGTCTACACTTGCCAAAACTAATTTTTCTTATAATGTACTATAGAGAGATGCGACTAGTTGTCAATTCTTATACCCATGTTATATGTTATCAATGTTGTTGTTGCTAATTGTTTGCAAGCTTATAACATTTTTTTCTCAAATTTATATTTAAAATGTACCCTGATTTCTAAAATTGTTTTTCAAGAGTGGGGCTAGAGGCTTGAGCATACGTCGATCATGTGAGATCCCACATCGGTTGGGGAGGAGAATGAAACATTCTTTATAAGAGTGTGAGAACCTCTCCTTGGCAGACACCTTTCAAAAACCTCGAGGGGAAGCCCGAAAGAGAAAGCCCAAAGAGGACAATATTGGTTAGCGGTGGCTTGGGCTGTTACAAATGATATCAGAGCCAAGCGATGTGCCAGCGAGGAGGTTGAGCACCGAATAGGGGTGGACACAAGACGGTGTGCTAACAAGGACATTGGACCCTAAAGGGGGGTGGATTGGGGGTCCTACATTGATTGGAGAAGAGAACGAGTACCAACGAGGACTCTGGTCCCCCAAGGGGGGTGGATTGTGATCCCACATCGGCTGGGGAGGAGATGAAAATCTCTCCCTCGCAGACGCGTTTTAAAAACCTTGAGGGGAAGCCCGAAAGAGAACGCCCAAAGAGAACAATATTGAAAATCCAAGTTCGGGGAGTAAGTGCTATATAATCATGTTGTGAATCTTGGTAAGTGTGATTCTAATAGTTGGTATTAGAGCGGAGTCAACTCTTAGCATTCGAGTAAGCAAACATGTCAACTGCAAAACAATTAAGTAAGTTTCAGGTTGATCAATTAGTCGAGATTGTAGAATTGATGCTCTATCTAAGTGAAGTATCTTATGACCATGGTTTTTTAGAATCTCGCCAATAAGAGATTGCCACTAAAGCTGAAAAAATTGAATCTATACCTAGTTTCCTAGAAAGGACGACCCTCCAATAATTGATGATTAGGGTTGAGTCCCTAGAAGATAAAAGCCACAAATTAGTGGCTTCAAGCGCGGAGTTAGCTCGATGGGATCTATTGCATATATCGATGGTATCTCAGACGATTTCATAATTTTCTAAAAGATTTACATGTTTTCCCTGAAGAGTGGCAAATTTGAGTGTTAGACTATACCTCACCAGAAAAATGGTGAGGAAACAAACCCCAATAAGAGGTGCGATTTGGTTAACAACGTAAAGGTCCCAAAACCTTAGCCCTTATGTGGGGTTTGAGATGTCAAAGCTCTGAAAAACTTTATTTTTGACCTCAAACAATACTTTTGAGATATAAATATTGTGGTAGAGAAAACGAACGTCATTTTGATAATAATGTATCTAACTGACGATGCAAAGTTGTGGTAGACATCTAAGTATATGGACATTCAAAATGGTCGATGTATCACAAACAGTTGAAAAAGGCTAAGGCAAAAACTTTGCTTGCAGTTCTTCCTAGAAATTGTTGAGTTAAATAGTGAGATGAAAATCGAGGAAACTAAAGCATACTAGGAACATCGAGACTATGTCGAGAAGTTTTTTTTAGGCTAAAGTTGGATATTCACAATAAATCTAAAAAAGACTTGGTCAGTTATTTTGTTGAGGGGCTAATGTTGTGGCATAAGGTGTAAACTATAGATAGCAAGTTCAAGATCTTTCTACTTCCTATATTATAGCGAACGATTGTTCAACTTTAACAATGATCAATACCAAAATGTGAAGTAGAGGCTGGCTCCTTAAGTGGTACTGATCAATTAGAGGCTGGCTCCTTAAGTGGTACTGATCCAACTCACCCAAAATTGGGGAAGGTAACAAACTTGAAACTAAAGGATGAGACTATGAATCCTCCAACAGAGAGGTAGAAATCCATAGTAGAGATCATACAACAAGAACAATTACAGCCAAGAGCCCTTATCTTATTTCGTAGGGCACATCGAGAGTTTAAATGCTTATAGTGGGCAACCTTCTAAGATTTCCCGGCCAAATTTAGAATGGAGTCTTAAGCAAAATATGGGACGATGAAATTTGAAACACCCTTCGTTGAAAACATTGAAAACTCCTATATTGAGGCCCTAAAATACTTATCTACTCTCTCGCAGAAAGTTGGAGAGATGGAAGAGCTAGTAGAACTGAGTCTTATGTATGATGAGGTCTATGCTAACTACAGATTGACCAAAAGCACTATGGTCAACTTTGGAACGACCCACAATTTCATGATGAAGACCTAAGTGAAACGCTTAAATATTTTCTTGCATCGAGGTACATAAAGGATGAAAGTCGTTAATTCAGTAGGCCTACTCATGTCAGGGATGGACTTCTTACTCAACCATTAAGCCATTCTCATGCCCCTAGCTAAATGTTTAGTGATTACGAGATCCAACTACACTATTGTATAAACTAATACTGACAACCAAAATTGGTAAAAATGATGTTAGCGTTACAATTGAGACAGGGTCTAACCGATAACAAACCCCGATCATTATCTTTATTGTGGTTGAAGATGAGAGCTCAAGTGAACCAATTCCAATAGAGATTCAATGGTTGTTAGAGAAATAACATGGCGTAGGTCAAAAAGTCGAGACTAAGGATTTATCCCGTGGGGGGATAAATCACAAAATTGATGTAGTATTGGGGGCACATTGCTTACCAGAGATAAGCGTAGTTCAACTCAACTTGAGGTGGCTGAACTACATAAGCAGTTAAGTAAGTTGTTGAATGTCAGTTTCGTTAGATCTGCAAAAGCTCATGCCAATGATTATCTAAATGTCGAGGAGAGGCCTTAATCCAATATTTTTGCCAATGTGAGGAAACAAACCTTCAAAGTAGCTCATACTTAGTTGAGAAAAACATCTATGAAGAATGGGGCCGTAAAAAACACAAGCTATGAAAATTCTAAGTTAGGAAACATGTTGTGATCCTATCAACTTCACTCCAACAAGAACCAACGCAACCCGAACCAATGACTGGTATAGAAATATTATGGACCAATTAAAGTGAATATAAGGTTGGGAAGGCATGATAGAAGATTCAATTGCTCCCATAGTTAGGACTAATTATATTGTCCACGTCAATAACTTGAAATTGAAATTTTATCATCCTGGCAAGATGTTAGGTTATGAAACTATACAATAAATGTTTATAAATAGTAATTGACTATATACAATAAATGGTCATAAATAGAGTAGATGACTGTATTAACAAATGACTATAGATAGTAAATATATGTACGGTAAGCAAAACCACGTGAATATTCTCAAAGATGATGCTTTTAAGAGGTACTTGAAAGTATTATTTGTATTGTCTATTATTGTACATACTATATGTTATCAACATATATAAACCATTAATCGATATCTCTCTTTGTGTTTTCTCTCTCTTATTCTTTATCGAGTGGGCGAGTTATGCGATTATAACTAGTATCAAAGGTAGGAGATATTCACCACGATTTATGAAGATGAAAAGCTCAAAAACTGAAATCGAGAAGTTTGATGGACCTAATTTTGGTTTGTGGAAGATGCAGATGAAAAGTTATCTGTACTAGAAAGATCTTCACAAACCCGAGGTTAAGCCAATTCCATGTCCATGAAGTAGTGGAAGTTTAAGAACTGACAAGCTCTAGGGTTGATATGGTTGACTCTGTCTAGAAACGTGGCATTCAACATTGTTTAACGATAATTCAATGTCGAATTTGTTGAAGACACTGTCGAATATGTACAAAAAGACCGTTAGTTATGAACAAAGTATATTTGATGCATAGATTGTTCAAACAAAGTATATTTCAAGGTGGATTTGTTGCGGATCATATAAATGAATCATATACATT